CCGCCAAGAGCTGCCATGAGCAGCCGTCCAGTGTCCGGCGACCGATCTGCCTCACCCAGGAAGAGCGCAATAATAATACCAACATGGGCCAGTGAAGCAACGTCCTCTACGACTAGACTGAAGAATAAAAGGACAGCAACTTGTCTGTTCCCCTTCCCCAATTCCACAACGTTGTTCCCCTCCCCCCAATTCCCCAATAAAAAATCTTTTAAAAAAAATAATAGAAGCACAAGATACAGAAAATATCGAATACTTATCAATGTTCAAATTTGAAACTGAGGCCCAGAGGGGTAAAGTACTCTTTGTCCAAGTCTGTGCAGTTGGTTACTATGAAGCGAGGTCTAGAACCAGGTGTCCCATTTCACTGTCAAATGCTCATAATAGCACACATGGGGTAAATGAATCCCAAGGGAGCTGAAAGGAAGACATACTGTATGAACGCCTGCTCTCTATAGTGCACTATCCTCAGCCCCAGAGAAGGAATACCAGGAGGTATACAAAGAAGACACTGCCTTTTGTAAAGAGACTTGTGGTCTTGTTAGAAAAATAAACCTGAAAAACTGTTTAAACTATGGTTCAAGATATTAATTCAAGAAATAAAAATATATGATTAGCTTGAGAGTTGATGTGTGTTCCCCAAAATGGTATATAAGCTCCAAGGAAATGCAACTCCCATGAGATGGGGAAGTGGAAGAATGTTGGGGGAGGAAGTGGAAGGTACCCTGGATCTTGAAAAATAAAGAGGATTTAAAGGGTGAGAAAGAAGAGATGGCATTACAGAAACAGGAAACTGTGTGAATATCTGTAAAGAGTTTTCCCCAAAACAACATAATGTGTTATTACTGGTAAGTGATATTGTTATTTACTTTAAGGGTAATTTTCATCCAGAAGAGCAATTTAATGTGTATTATCTGCCCTGGTAAGTTGTGAAAAAAAGACATGCATGGGAACTATTAATTCAATGCTTTATTTAGTTACTTACTCATACCTCGTTGTGCCACAAAGAAACTGAGGCAGCTTCCAAAAATGTAGGACATAAACTGAATAAAATAAATTACGGAGGGAAATAATAAACTCCGGAGTAACAGCAGCACGCACAGAAAAGCAGGCTATACAGTCCAGGTTGGTTGTTAGTCGGAAGT